CACCCGAACAGTAAGTGATGCTGGTGACAGCGTACAGCTCAACCCAGATATGACCTTCCCGGCTAGGATCTGTGGGGTTGAGTGTAACTGTTTGTTGGATACGGGTTCAACGATAAGTATCATTAATAAGGCAGTGTTTGATGCTTTACCGAACGCCACTTTGAGTATGACAGCGACACGGGCGCGGACGGCCGCGCAGGAACAGTTGCCTCTCCTAGGGAGAACTGTCCTTTCAGTTCAGATAGGTCGCGTACAAAAGACTGTTCCCTTTTATGTGTCAGATGTGATTGATGTGCCCTGCCTGTTTGGCATTGATTTCCTTCAGCACGTGCAACCCTGTGTAATAGATCTGCAGCGGAAATGCCTGAGCTTTGTGCCGTCGGAGGCAGTTCGATCTGTTACAGCGGAGGCAGTGACTGTAGGAACCGTGGTTCTGGGCAAAGATATTACCGTTCCACCCGGTAGTGAGACGGTGGTTCGTGGGTTTTCTCATAATTGCGACTACAGGGGCTCTGCTCTGATTGAACCTTCTTGGGAAAAACCGGGATTAGAGGTTGTGAGAAGCATAGTGGAAGTGTCAGGCACGAGCGTTCCATTAGTATTGCGAAACAACTCTGATCGTTTTGTTACTGTACCCAAGCACGCTGAGCTGGCTCAGTTGGAGGTAGGATTTTCAGAGGAGCCTAAAGTAAAAGAGTCTGAGCTTAAAGAGTCTGTGAACTTGGAAGAATTAGTGAACTTAGAGGGAGTAGATATAACGTCATCACAGAGAGCTGCCCTTTTTCGAGTCCTTAAAAAGTACAAGTCAATGTTCGATGGTCACGTGGGCCACACCACTCTGGTGGAGCACCGTATCGATACGGGTGACAGCCCTCCGATCAGACAGGCCCCACGTAGAATTCCGCCGCACCTCAAGGAGGAGGTGAAGGCTCAGTTAGACGAGTTAGTCAGTCAGGGGATCCTAGAGGAGTCAGAGGGCACGTGGGCGTCGCCCATATGCGTGGTTCGCAAGAAGGACGGGTCGGCGAGGATAGTAGCCGACTTACGCCGATTGAACTCAGTGTCTCGAGTCCCCGCTTATCCGATAGCCAGAATAGATGATACGCTAGACGCGCTGTCGGGATCGTCGCTATTTTGTACTCTTGATATGAACTCGGCTTACCATCAGATGTCAATTGCACCGGAGGATAGAGAAAAGGCAACGATCGTGACACCTTTCTCGTGTCTGCAGTACACACGGGTTTGTTTTGGTCTCGCAGGGGCGCCAGCGAGCTGTGCTCGTCTGCTGAACATAGTACTAGGAGATATTGCACCGGAAAAATGTGTCAGTTACTTTGATGACATCATTGTGCACGGGTCAACCTTTCAGAGTGTTCTGGAGTCACTGGATTGTGTTTTGAGTCGTCTCATGGATGCAGGGTTGACTTTGAACTTGAAAAAGTGTCAGTTTTTCCGGAAAAAGGTCACCTATCTGGGACATGAAGTGTCAGGGGAGGGTATCAAGGCCGATCCTGTCAAGGTGGAGAAGGTGCGTGACTGGCCTGTGCCCAGATCAGCCAAGGAGATGTCCAGTTTTCTTGGGCTAGCTTCGTACTTTAGAAGGTACATTAAGAACTTTGCGGATATTGCAGCGCCGCTGTTCCGCCTCACGATTAAAGATCAGAAGTTCGAATGGTCGGACAGCGCTCAAATTGCTTTTGATTCATTGAAAAAGGCCTTATGCGAGTCACCAGTGCTTGCGTTTCCGCGTTTTGATTCAGAGGCAGGTCCATTCATTTTGGAGACGGATGCCAGTGGTGAGTGTATGGGAGCCGTTTTGCTACAGGTGCAGGATGGTGTCGAGCGTCCAGTCGCTTACGGCAGCCAGACGCTGTCAAAGTCACAGAGAAATTACTCTACCACGAAGCGTGAGCTATTAGCGTGTGTACATTTTGTGCAGCATTTTAACCACTATCTTCAGGGAGCGAGATTTCAATTACGTACTGATCACAGTAGCCTGCAGTGGTTATTGAACTTTAAGAACCCAACCGGCATGCTAGCCAGGTGGTTTGAAGTTTTGGGAAATTATCAATTTGACATTTCTTATCGCCCGGGGGCCACTAATACAGCAGCTGATGGTCTGAGCCGGCGCCCCGAGAGCACAGCTGACGCAGGTGTGCAGACTGAGGAAGCGCAGTGCCATCAGATCAATGCGAGTCTGTGGTCCACCAGTTTCATGAAAGAAGAGCAAGGTAAGGACGCAACAATTTCAGAGATCGTGAAGCATCTTTCCTCGGGACAGCGTCCACATCGCCGCAGTGTCGACAGGTCCTTGCGTCCCCTGCTGAGGCAGTGGTCCCGACTGACCCTTCTTGACGGTGTCCTGTACCGAAAGTACCGCAGGAGGGCGAGAGATGAGTTTCAGCTGCAGCTGGTGATTCCGCGATCTCTCGTGACCGGTGTGCTGACGTCACTGCACAGCGGCCCGACCGCCGGTCACCCCGGACCGGACAGGTTACACGCAGCAGTGACCCGACGCTTTTTCTGGGTAGGGATGTTGTCAGACGTCAAGGAGTTCTGCAAGCGCTGTGAGCGGTGTTCATCCAGAAGTCAGCCGGTGCCGAGACCGAGAGCCGCGCTGGGTGAACTGCATGCTTCCGAGCCGTTCGAGACGGTAGCGATCGATTTTCTGACTAACCTACCAGTGACGCCGAGTGGTCATAAGCATTTGTTGGTGGTGATCGATCACTTCACTCGCTGGTGTGAGGTGTTCCCGCTGAAGGATATGACGGCCACCACAGTAGCGTCCACTCTGGTAAGTGAATTCTTTTCCAGGTACGGGTGCCCGAGAAAGCTCCATTCGGATTGTGCCGCCAATTTCACGGGTCAGGTGATTGCCGAGATGTGTCGTCTTTTCGGCATCGAGAAGACAAAGATAAGTGCCTATCATCCAGAGGGTGACGGTAAGGTCGAGAGGATGATGAGGACTCTGCTCGACATGCTTTCAAAGTATCTCGACGCCAATCATGATCAGTGGGACGAGCACCTCCCATTGTTGATGCTGGGGTACAGATCGCTCGAGCACAGTGCGCTGGGCTACAGTCCGTATTTTCTCATGTTCGGTAAAGAGCCGCGCCTGCCTGTGGAGGCTGAGCTCCAGGTTCCAGTCGCGAGCAAATCTCAGACCGTCACTGAATATGTAGATAAGCTACGCGAGTCTTTGAGAATTGCACACAAGCATGCGCTACATGTATCTGACGCTTCACATGGGAAAAACAAACGATTCTACGAAAAACGAATGAATGAGTTTGAATACAAAGAGGGAGATTTGGTATTTTTGCACAAAGCTGTAGTTCCTAAGGGACAATATTATAAGTTTGTGAGACCGTGGAAGGCTGCGGTGATTGTAGCAAAGGTAGGGGACTTGAACTATCGTATCAAGGTCACGGGCTCCAGGAAAACATTACTGGTTCACCATAATCGTTTGAAGCCGCGAACTGAGCCGATAGTTACCCCACCTGTGCCAGAGGTCACTGAGAGTCAGGATGGGGCTGGTGCTGATGCTGCGTCACCGGTGACACGCGCTCAGACCACGCCGCCAGCAGAGACAGAGTCGGTCTCCGTGGACTGTGGGTCAGCGGATGACCCGGCTGGTGTCACAGCCTGGGCACGATTGCCCATCATCGGCACAGCTGTGCAAGGTAAGGAGCCAGCGATTGAGGAGCAATCGTCCGGCACAGTTCAGATGGCGGTGCCGACACCCGAGTGTCCGCCGGTACCCCCGCGGTCTGAGGTACCGCCGCCGGTGCCAGCCAGACGGTCCGAGCGACGGACTCGACCGCCTGATCGCTTTGTTCCAGGCTTGTAGGTAGCCTGATTAACATGAATGCTTCAAAAGGCAAGAGGTAAGAGGTGCGCTCAAATTAACGTAAAATCAGTCGCCCTGATTTTCCTTTTAACTAGCTCAGCAGACATTCGGTTGGCTCCTGGCGCCGGAGTGCGACAGATTTGTTTAACTCTTTATGGAAAGAGAGTGTGCGCGTCGAGCTAGATTCGGTCAATCCCTGGGGACGTTTCTGATTGACATGTCAATGTCATTAAACTCAGTTTGAGTAGGAGCCCTCTAGCAGCCTGTTCAGAGCATCATGGCATGGGATGTAAATAGCATGGTCGGGTTAACCTGTGTTTGGGATGGGACCCAGCGTACCCATTGCCATCATTGACGGTTAGCCATACCTGTTCAGCTAGCTAGTTGATAAGTGAGCGATGCTGTGCGAGATGACGTGTTTGTGTTTTTCGTTGTTGCTGACTGCCAGTCAAAGTCAGCCGGATGCTGCCAGGCATCATCTAGCGACCACGGTGTTATGGTGTCGCGTGGCGCGTGCTGCAACTGCTGATGTTATCACATGAGTATGAGTGTTTCTAGATGTAAGTGCACGCCTTTCATTCAAAGGAGGGAGAAGTGTAATCGGCAAGCTTTGCGCCGATTAAAGTTTATCTGTTTCACCGGCGAGAGGAGCCCGGTGACCATATGATGTCTGGACAGGAATTTAATTCAACGGTTTTGCGCGTGATCGTCTGCCATTCAATTGTTGCTACAGGTATGAACTCGAAGCTGTCCTAGATACTGCAATTAAATGTGTTTATTTATGTGCGGCATATTATTAGAATGGTAAACACTCTTATTCATGCTTAGAGGTTTTACTGACCAATTAGTATAATGTTTTATATAGCGGATGCCGCGATCGGAGCATCTCATGTGCACTATGTTTTCGCCCATTCAGCTGATCACGGAGGTGTTCGGCTGACTTGGGCGGGGAGTCTGGATCGAGAGCTGAAGGAGTGAGGTTGCGCTCCTGGCTCTGTTATAATGTAACCTAAGCTAAATACAATGTAATGTTCTTCACTTTTGATTATGTCGATTCACCTTCAGTAAACACGGGTTTACATAGGCATTGAGATCTTCACCACCTTAAGAAGGACTCATTGGTGGCACATTTTGTGAAATGATGACGCAGTTATGGGCACGACACAATCACAGGTATATATGGCTGTGAGACACACATCAGAAAATAGGGTGAATTATTGGTTCTGGAAACAGTAAGCCATAAAGACGGACACGCAACGATTCCAAAAGGTACCTATTTGACGACTCAACAAGCGCAGTAAAGCGTAGCACAACAACCATTACAGCACAACGAACAGCACAGCAGACAGCACAGCACAACTAGCGACAAGAATTCCCGTGACTCGGGAACACGAGACATCGTCTCCGCAGCGAGATCGCGAAGCCTCCTTTCAGCTACCGGGGCGCTTCTCCAAGGTCATCCAAACCTGTACCGATCGATTTTTCTTTTATCATTAGCAGTCCGATGTAGCTAAGTTCTTTCGTTTTCCCGGTTCCCCTGCCTCACTCACGAGCTGGCATCATAGAACTGTTCGTCAAGACTATTACATGAGTCCGACGCAAGCAGATGCATGGCTTCACCTTTTCCTCCATCTTCGCCTTCGTCTTCCTCGCCTTTTCCCACCACGTCTCCTCCCTCCCCACCACCACTCTCAGAAGTAGGCGCCGGTGCAGTTCCCAGCGATCCCAACGCTAAGGTCAGCGCAGGACTTGGCGCAGGAGCCAGCCTCATCAGCAGCCTGACCTGAGTCAGCGGTCGTGCTGACGGAGGAGACGTCTCAGGAGTCATGAAAGCGTCGCTAACCTCCGAGTCTCTCCTCCTCCAGTGCGCGCTAGGGGCTGACTCATTGACCATCGGCTGATGGAAGGACTGGCCTGTCGTACGTCTTCCTCCTCCCACGCGGGGAGTTGGGAGGGTCAGCAGTCGTCGTGTTCCTCCGGAGGTGTCAGAACGCGGAGGCCAGCCGTCTGTGGTCATGTTGGAGGAATGAAGCAGTATCGGTGATGCGCCTGATGGTAGAACAGTGGAAGAAGTGGGCTCCAACTTGACTCGCTCCGAGGCTGGATGAGAACGTCGACTCAGACCGCCTGTCGGAATAAGATGGAGGTTAGATGAAGCCTGAACGTGAGACAGGACTAGCAGTCAGGGAGGGTGGCGGCGTGGACTGGAGTATGTCCTTCGGAAAAAGTCACTTTACAAGACATGCCAAGTTAAATACCTCGGAAAACTAAAAGGCAGCAGTTTCTTTCTGAGCCAGCTGTGGGCAGTTTTGCCATGGTGAGGGACGGTGCATCATGAGTGCCAAGAGCGAAGAACAGTAGCTGTCTGGCTATGTTCTTCACACCTTGACAGGAGCTGTACGTACGTACAGCCCACCGCTAAAGTAATGTAGGGTTTTACCAATCTCAACGGTTGGCTTTGACTGGCGATTGTTTAATGCGGAGTGATCGAAAAGAAGATATTATAGGATTAAATTGGACTTACACCACAAGAGAATCGTTTTCGGTCGGAGCTTTCGACAATCGACATGTATTACATGTCCTCTTCAGCGAAGGTCGGTAATCGGGGCGAAAATAAAACGTTCGGGTCGAATCGAATCGCACAAGATGTCGGTGAGCTGCGCAGAGTTATTTCAGGCCGCTTGAATTATAAAATAAGCAAGCCTGAAACACGTGACGACAATAAGAGTACACTCAATGAGAAAGTCTACCAAAAAACACGAACGCATACCACACTAATAAAATCCTAAAAAATATAGAAATCAATACATACTATCTCGGTACAGAAATATAAAACGTTATACATACCTATAAATACCATACTATAAAAAAAATACTATAAAAGTATAACGTTTTATATTTCTGTACCGAGATAGTATGTATTGATTTCTATATTTTTTAGGATTTTATTAGTGTGGTATGCGTTCGTGTTTTTTGGTAGACTTTCTCATTGAGTGTACTCTTATTGTCGTCACGTGTTTCAGGCTTGCTTATTTTATAATTCAAGCGGCCTGAAATAACTCTGCGCAGCTCACCGACATCTTGTGCGATTCGATTCGACCCGAACGTTTTATTTTCGCCCCGATTACCGACCTTCGCTGAAGAGGACATGTAATACATACATGTCGAAAGCTCCGACCGAAAACGATTCTCTTGTGGAGTAAGTCCAATTTAATCCTATAATATCTATTTGCTCTCCGCACTAACATGTCTCTAAGTCGAAAAGAAGATGTCAATAGCTAAAGTTGCAGCTGCAAGGGTGACGATACATACATATAAGCTACATTCAAAGTTTCATTGTAGTCTGGCTAATCGTTCCTAAGCTTCAGAAGCAGAACATACCCATGACTGAAACCCCACATTACCTCTGCTGTGGACTGTACCTAATAGAGATGTCAATCGGATACCAACTTTTTGGTATACCGATACCAAACCGATACCAACTTGGTATTTGGTATTTCAATCGTAATGTGTTTGGTATTTTGTTGGTATCATAAGCCCTCACTAATGTATTAGAGGCTAAGAAATCGGTAAAAAGTTGGTATTTCCCTCAGTTTCCCAAGTTGGTTTGGTTTCGGTATTCTCCCGTGGTTTTAGTTGGTATTTGGTTTGGTATCGGTATTCCGATTTTCCGTGATTGACATCACTAGTACCTAACCTAACGTACCATCGTAGCGAGTGCCAACCGCCATATGTTACAGCCTACAGGCTACAGCTGCTGTCACTGCCGGATCCGATTCGTGGGAGGCACGTGGGACATGACTGCTTAGCAAGGCATGAGAAAACAAATTTAGAAGATGATTTTTTGTTAAATGGGTGGCCTTTTGAGGAGTATGCCAGCCACCTTCTCCCCCGCAGCGTCTCAAACCACTTGTCTGGATTCGTCAGTGACTGCCGGTGCGACTACTACCTCGTCAGCACTTGCAGAGGCAGTTTTTATCTGATGAGTTAAAAACTGTGTGCGTTTTGTGTGCGTGCAGACACGGGCACACTCCTGTATCTACGTTCCCCGAGGATCCATCTGTTGTTTGACTTGACAATAGCGTAAAAGAGAGCCGTGTTTAGGAGTCTCCTGAACAAAGAATGTTTCATTTCCAGAACTACAATGTGACCATTCAAGTTATTTTCCCCGGCTAAGCTGAATTGACGACTTAAAAGCTACTCAGTCGTCGGGTCTAGTTTTAGAACGACATATGAAACGCGCAATATCCGTGTAACTAAGGTCAAACTCAAACTGGGCCTAAAAAGAGCTTGTTGAATTGTAGGTGGGCTGTAAGCTCCGTAAGATCGATGAGCTTGGTCGACCGACAATAAAGTACACGTTTGTGCCAGCTCACAGAATAGGTGATAATGTTCAAAATAGAATCTAATGTAGTGATTTGAGTTTATTGAATGTGGAGCACTGTTAGTAACAAAGTATGTGAAGTGTTCTTCGAACTGATATAAAATCGATTGCTTGGTAATCTCAATGGGTTTCGTGCCCTCTTTGTGAAAAGCAATATTGCAATTGTTTGTACATTTTTGTGTTTCAGATAGGTTGACATTGAAGCAGGAGCATGATGTGAGTTACCCGCGCCCCGTAGGGGGGGGGGGACCGAAACGGTCCCCCCTGTCCTTTTCAGTCGATATCTCCTTAACAGCTGGAGATATCGCCACCAAACTTTGAGGAGCCCTCCGGGCATCAATATTACACATTATGACCAAACATTTTTCCAGAGCTATGATAGGTTGGCCACAAATGACGTCAGAATGACGTCATGTTCTGTCATTTTCGACCGAAAAAAGACCTTCGCGAGAAGACCTGTCAGGCCTACAGCTTTGAAGATACAGAAAAATGATCAGACATAAAAGGTGTAGAATTGACAGGGCTACAAAACTGCTATCTCGGATTTGTGAAATTTTTGAGTTTTGACCCCCAAAAATCAAAAAAGCATTTTTTTTATATAATAGCCAAAAAATTCAAAAAGTTTTTTAAGTTTCGAAAAAACCGGAATATATGTAATAGTACCTACCGTCTTCTATCTACATATACCAAATTTCAGATCGATACCTCGTTTTTTGGCCAAGTTATAGCGAAAAAACTGTTCAAAAATGATGACGTCAAATTTTCAAACCCAATTTTTGGCAATTCTAGACCTCGTAGAGCAAAACAAAGACCACCATTAGACTCCCCGTGACGGACGAGCTGCATCGAATCGATACCCATTTTATGCAAAAATATCAACTTTGAAATTTGACCTAATTTGACCTGACCTTGACCTGACCTTCACCAAAACGTGACCTAGGCTGGCCCCAAAGGCTGCCTAACCCACATAATCGCATTTGTCTTGTAAAATGGACCATAAAACATGTATCACACGACACTTTCATATTGTGACCCCCGGTGACCTGACCTCGCTGTGACCTGACCTGATATCAGTGACCTCAGATAGCAAAATATGTGTTTGACGAACAATGTACCATCGATGGTTTTCAATAAATTACCAATTTACTCGATTTCACAACACAATTCTTGAAATAAATGCCTGTGAACGGTGAAAATCTGACCTTTGACCTGACCTGTGACGTCATCGGTTTGACCTAGGTCAATGAAATTTGGTCACAAGGTAGTTCCCGGGTGGGGCTATCGAACGCCGTTTGAATTTTGAAAATCGGCCGGTAAATTTCCGAGATATTAGGGGGCCGAAACGCCCCCCCCCATCCCTACGGGTGGTAGGGTCCGCCGATAGTCCTACGGGGCGCGGGTTAAGACAATGAAGCAATGAAGGTAACAGACACACCCAGAACACTGCATCACACCGCAGGACAACGTATTTCTGTGTCTCGCTAACGTCCGTAGACAGCCAATATCCAATAGGTGATTGTGTATCGCTCCGTGTTCAATAGAATTGGTCCTCACGAAATGGACTCTGCTGGGTGTCTGGTTTGGGTATCAATCTGGTTTCGGTGTCAATCATGGAAGAACACAGTTAGGTATATTATACGTGGCTGTATCTAACACAAGCAGCCTATAGGCTCCATTTCACTATGATAATGGCATCCGTGAAATATGTCATCACCCGTTGCTGTTGCCTGATAATCCGTGCTCAAGTTACAGTTATCCTATTTAGTCCACAGTCTATAAATATTCCCTATCGTGTCATTTACACTGATTTGGCGGACCAATTTCGGAAGCGTAATCAGGCTCAGCTTACTGGTTTTAATGATATTGTATCAAATGAAATGTGGATGAAGACAGACTTGGATTGAAGCTGCGAATTATAGTCGGGTCATAAAAGGATTTACAATGCAATATTGCGCCGGTCGTAACACGAGCCCCACTGGGATATTAAGCTATTCAGTGAAACGTAACCCCCAATGGAAGATAGATTGGCACTCAGTCTAACTTAGTTAACAAAGGTAATGCTACCCAAATGTCACTCTATAGCCTAGGTATGCACAATGCGTTTCAGTAAAACGTGAACTAGTTTGGCGCGCCCGTCAAAGCCGGACACGGCCTGTCTCACTCAACTGACTAGCTGGCTGCGGCTGCTCTCACCAACCGCAGACCATTCCAGCCGGGGTCGCATATCGAATGCCTATCGGAGTGACTCGAATTCGAGCAAAGTTCATTAACAAATCAGCTTCATCAAATAAGCGCCATTGGTTCGGTAATGATGTTTTAACTGTTCTCGGTAGGTAACAATTCCAGGACACGATTAATGATTTGCTACGAGCTAGCGTGAACCACGATATTAGTCTTCCGTAGTTTGCGGCGATATCTGTAATGAATGATTGCGATTAAGGCTGTTCGTCGATTACGCTGAAACTATATCGTTGCACAATGATCGGAAAATGCAGTTTGATGTATCAAGTTGAATGCTATTGGAGACCGTCTCTACATGTCTCAATTGCTAGGGCGATTGAGCTGATAAATATGCCTCCGATGTTAGCTTAGCGCCCAGTTATGGGAGTAACCCGTACAAATCAGCTCGGACCTTGCCGAACACAATTTTGTGTGGGCGGACCCTCAAGCCCGTATATGTAGCTCTTAGAAAGCATCTGCCTAATCGACTCACTGAATACCGATCATTTCGGTGAGATGTGATCTGACCGATCCTGAACATGCTCTGGATACGACGGGAGCGGTTACACATGTCTGTTCGTTGAGCCGAGTATCCAATAAATGAAGCTCACTAGAGCGTCGAAACTCATTCAGAAATTCTTTGTATAGAACATGCACCCGATCCCTCGTTGGTAGCAATAGACCAAGACGGTATCAGGATTTTTTTTTGTAATAGAAGATCAGTTTTGATCAATTTTGGGAGAATTTTCTGAGCCACTGTGATGCGATCAGTTTACTATTGACTGCTATGGTAGATTTGGTACAAATCTCATATCAGCAGTACATACCTTAGTCATATTTCACGTCCTATGTATTCAACATGTAAGTGGTTAGGTGGCATGCGTTTCCTCCCGAGTCTAAAAAAAAAATCCTACGTAAAAGGGCATGTTACATCATCGTTACGCAAGAAGCAATAATGAAAGCTAGCTTTTACTTAGCGAGCTTTTACGGTACGGCAGCTGGGCTCCCTCAGGCTCAGCTGTTTCCAAGCGACGCAGATGAGCTCATCATGCTCGGCTAATTAGGCAGAAAGTACCTCGGCTGTGAGTGGAGGCGTGATATGATCAGGAGATTATGAGTATTTGGCCTAGTGTTACGCAATGTGCGGCAGTGCATGTGGGCAATAAAAACTCCAGCATCCGCATGTGCTCCGCATCCGCATCCGCAAGACTGCGGTAAAGTTGAGAGTAGATAAGAGAGGTAGGTGAAAATACATTCGAAAAGTGGTGTGAAATCACATTCGAAAACCGCGATCGCCCCTCCCCCTCTGGTGGTAAAGCCTAGTACTGACTAAGTTAAGTGCGTGAATTCGCTGTGATTGAGTTTGAGATGACAATTGACAGCTGTGCTACAAGAAACGGTGAGCACTCAGGTTGGCGGTTCTAGAAAAAAAGTTTTAGACGTTGCGAGGGCTACGCACTCAAAAAATGCTCTCAAGTTTTCGACAGCTTCTCGAATTTCTCTTCCTGTTGCCTCGCTGTGCAGTTTATAGCAAACTTTTCCTGGCAAAAGTTGTTCAGTTGTCTTTCCATACGATAAAAAAGCGAAATTTCGTCAGTCTCGAATGCTGCGAGAGGGGTAAAAATGTCTCAAATGCCCCCACACCTGAATTCCCAGGTGTTCTTGAAAGTGTTTACCATACGACCTGCCGGCATCTCTGTACTCACTTCTGAGTCCGTTGCCGTAGTACTGTTGTGGCTCTGGAACAAAACACTCGAGTGTGTTCTGGGGCACGCAGCAGCGAAACAGGCGACACAGGTAGGCCCGGAACCTGTCGAAATAGCAGAGAAGGGAGAGTGAAATTGTGGGTCTGAGCTCGAGAAACATTAGTGCAGTGAGGGTGAGTGATAATCCAGAATTGGAGGATCAAAAGCATGCGATAGCATGCTTTTGCATCCGGAAATTCCACAGTTGTGGTTCTGTGCGATGACTGCAACCTAAAATAGTGTGTTAACTGCATAGCGTTAGAGGAAAATTGGGAAAATTGTACCATCGTAATTCTGGATGAGATTCCGGTTTAAGTTATTCCTTACTTAAATTGTAACATTATGTCCGCCTATTTTAGGAGCCACGGTGAAATGCGTTTGCTGAAATTCCAGGCAGACCGTGTGTGATCTAGCTGAACATTAATGTCATTTCCAACTAATCGCTAACTGCATTAGCGGATGGTGATCTACACGTAGTAACACGTGCCCAGATACCCTTCCCGGCTGATGGTTTGAAGCGTTGGACCGGTTTTCCTGGATCCCCACAACTCCCAAACCGTTTGATAACACGTGCTAATGACTCATTTGATGTTATCGTGTGTGTGTTAGGAATGAGGACGATATAGGCAGATACATCACCGTTTATGTATATCTGAAAGGGATTGGAGTCCTCACCGTTTGTTCATCCAGAAGTAGATGAGAGGGTTGACCATGGCATACGACATTGCCAGCCAGTAGAAAACCATAAACAGGTGCTGCGGAAAAGAAACGAAATGCAGTCAGCGTGTGAACGGCAGAACACAGTGAACACCGTAGTGAACAGGGAACTAAATAAATACCGTCAGCATGTTAACGTCAGAACACCATGAACAGTGAACAGATGTTGTGAACAGAAAACGACGATGCGACAAAATATCTACATCATGTATGTACTTGATGTACTTGATGTGCAGGTAAAGAGGACTAATAAGCCCTGTTGGTCCTGCTCTTGACTTTATTAGTTAATCCAACTGGTCCACTCTCGTGCCATAACTTTACTGGCTGCTAGTTGAGTACAGTGAGCTAGCTGTTTGCTTGAATTTCGTCAAATCGAATAAATGGTCAAAGAATAAACGACAATCTTGTTTTGCAGCGTGAGGGCCGCAGATTCTCTGGAAAATGCCGATGTGATTTGAAATTCGGTGCACAGCCCTTAGCTGCTCGTTGCAAAATCAATGCATCTTGACCTTTCGGTTGAGCTGATCTATACAGTGGTGTTAATGATAGGTCCACATATGAACCCAACTCGCAAATGTGCAAGGTGCATGACAATTAAATAACATGTGGATTGTGGCATTTAACCCTCAAATGATATGGTCCTCACGCCGTATAGAGCTGCTTTGAAATGAGTTGATTGCCCTATTTTCCGAACCACTCAATCGGCAGTTGCTGAGCTGCCTTCTTTGATCACGCCTCTGCTCTCGGGATTTTATTAATGGCCGTGCCAGTCAAAGCCACAGACGCCAAATGATGTTGCCGTGCGGAGCAAAGCGGTGTTGCTGTGTCGCTGTGGAAGTGACGTTGCTCTGCAGGGCCAAGTGATCTTACCCGTTGACCTTCTAAGTCAGATCAATGAACCAAATGCTGGGAACTTCGGGATTTACTAGCACTTCATGAAGTGAGGGTTTTCTGTGGTATTTCGAGATCCATACTTCAAATTTCGCATTTTGTTTTGTTATAAAAAATGATGCATTTTTATATTTGGGGGTACTTTTCGGGTCAGATCAGGTCAACCATCACTCGTCCCGTTGTAGGCTGAAGGGGGATGGACCACATATCGTCTATCCGCTCCTCCTCTTCAGCTGCTGCCGTCTCAGTGTTCATTCGGGTCGGCTAGGTCAGAGCTAAGTTTTACAGTTGACCACATGTGAATTGGCCACACGCTGCGTTTTCTCATTTTGGTCGGCCAGCCTTGGTTACCATTCTGAGACAGTTCACAAACAGGCTTGCTAGGATATTGGAGATAGGCGCACGTGTACATTGCTTTGTTTTGTACTGTTGCTGGTGTCGCTATTTTTCATTTAGTTGCGAGACCCGGCCATTGAACTAAGCTCTGCTGCACAGACTCCTCGCACACCCGCGTTGTGTGCGTGGTAACGGCACCATTTTTTTTTTTTACTTTTACTCCGCTTCATCTTCACATAGAGCCTTTGTAACGCAGGCGTTACATTTTAGCATATTTTCTATCACCCCTCCCACGACGACGACGGCGTGTGCACCGGGGTTTGGGCGCCGGCGCTGGCGTCACCGTACCGCCGCGCTGGCAAACAGCCCCCGGGCCACGCCGGACCAAAAGGGTACGGCCGGGGCGAGAGGGGACCCGGCCGTCAAAACAACCCGGGCGCAGAGGCGGAGGAAGGAGGAGAAGGAGGAGACCACGCGAAGACCAGGACGAACACCAGTACCTGAAGACGCCTCTGTCAGCCATGAGCAGCTGCACTGGGGAGCCGAGGGAGAACGAGGCCAGGGGGAGAGAAGAGGACAGTCGGGAGTTGGGAGTCAGAGTCGGAGCGGAGAGTTGACGATCGACGGCAGGAGGCCGGCTGGGCCGGTCGGCCCGTGTGGCCGGACGGCCCTGCAGTACAGTCAGGGTTGAGGATTCAGCAGAGACGGGCAAGGCGTCGGCTGGGCCCGGGCGGCCCTAACCGGCCGCACGGCCCGTCGGCCGGACGGCGCTACAGCACAGTTCTACCCGGGGACGAGTCAGAACAGCGGCTAGAGGAGGACCGAGCGGCGACAGCAGGACCCGATGGCCGGCAACCTTGAGTCACCAACAGCTTCAGCAGCCAACACCAGCCGGCTAGCTGCAACCTCACCATCAGATCAAGGTTTGGACAGGATCTGGTCGGGCGCTGGGCTGCTAACCTTTCTGTCCTTTTGCCCAGTTCCGACCCACTGATGTTTCTCTCTAAAAAAAAGGTTCCTTCTAATAATTGGTCTGGGCACAGTTAGGGGATTTATTTAGGATGTTTAAAATGTTAAACAAAAAGGGGGGGTGTATTCAACGGAAGCTGCGCTATCTGCTGTCTGATTCTGTAAATTGTCGACCACAATAATTTTCATAAATGCTTATAATTGGGTAGCCACTAGCCATGTTTGGATATTGTGAATCATGAAGGAAAGGTTGGTAATTTAATCGGCGAAACTGTCTGGCTTTTCGCGCTGAACATATCTTTTAACGACAAGCTGTCCTGGTTATCGCGTAGGAATTACATTTTTTAACGTTGAATCTGTCTGGTTCCTTTAATTGTAAATACATAGCGTAGTAAAATGTAAACACATTTTTGATGAGGATGTGTTGATGACGGATCAATATGACGGGAAACCCAGGAATGTCACGGGGAAGCCGCGAGTACGACAGCGAAACACGGATCTGACACTGCATATTTAGGTGGTATATCTTTGCACTGTTTTATTAAATGCTTCTTCATCGAGAAACATTTGTTAGGAATTTAAGGTTTCCACTAGTTTTGGTAAGCATTTACGACGATATTCAGTAGGAAATTTTCAGCATTTGGTCGAGCTATTCCCGATAATGTAACTGAGAGCGAAACCAATTCATCGGCTTTTTGTACGCATGAGATCTTTGTTTATTTCTTATCCTTAGCAATCGACCATAGAATTGGGCACGCAGGCTGATAAACTCATTATTTTGTCCTTGAAGGGTTGCTTAATAATTAAACGCGCCAAAGTGTGATTATTCTCCGCTTCCGAAAGCATAAATGCTTTTTTTTCTTTATATTCACGTTAACTGCTGGTGTAATTTTGTATGTAGAAATAAGTAGAATCTAATTAAATTGGAAACGACTCTTTGTCTGTTACAATGAACATCGGTACAGGAGTATAAATGTTACAGGAGTATAAATGTTAAATTATTTACTTCGGCTAGCGTATAATTCATATTCATCGTGTTGCTGTTCCTGTGTACGATTTAAATTATCTTTTCATATCACGAATGATTATGACGCATTACTTAATTAGGTCACTGATAGTAAATGCGATCACCGACAGCACACAAAGGATATTGCTTCTCACTGACAAGTGATGAGCTCCAGCGTCCCAGTGACCGTCTCTCGCTCGGCGGCCGCGCTGCCGGTCCCATGTTTCGACGGCCAGCCGCCGCGCCGATTCACCCCTCGGAATGCGTAGTGGGGGAAGGACACGCAGGGGGGAGGGGACGCTCCGGCCAGGCGGCGACGCACAGTCGCCGGCCGGCCCGCTCGACGCGGGGGCGCCCGCAAATGGCGGCCGGCGCGGTGTGAAGGGAGTGCGGGCCGCTGGACACCGAGCCGGATTGATGACGTCACCACCCTAACTACGGGTGGATTTATGTAAGATACAGAGTAGCGAAACAGGTTCCGATGCAGCATTTAATGTACGATCAACACATTGAAAACAATATTAGATTTGTGGTCAATTAGCTCATTCTAGTATCGCAATGAACCCATTTTATCCAATGTCATGGGTAGGTAATTGGTACGAGTAGGTTTGATCAAATTTTAAGTGAAATTATAAACTCGGTTGGAAATGTTAATAACGATCTCATCTCTTAAATTTGTTAGCAGTTAATCAGTGACATTTGGTCATGTTGCAAATAAAACACGGCGATTTATAAACCGGTCCGTCGCGTCGGTCAATCGGTATGAAGCCCTATTGGTTTATGATCTGTTGAGTGCTGGTCTACTAGCTATAGTTTCTCTCTCTCTCTCTCTCTCTCTCTCTCTCTCTCTCTCTCTCTCTCTCTCTCTCTCTCTCTCTCTCTCTCTCTCTCTCTCTCTCTTTCTCTCTTTCTCTCTCTCTCTCTCTCTCTCTCTCTCTCTCTCTCTCTCTCTCTCTCTCTCTCTCTCTCTCTTCCTCTCTCTCGCTCTTTGGCTTCTCAGCACCGATAACAACGAGCGATCGGAGGAAGATATTTATAGCAACCAAGCGGAGGTGCGCCCATGAACTGGGGTCAGCGGACAGTGTCGCGGGCCGGTGGACAGTCTCGGAGGCCGCCGGCAGCGGCCGGACCTGGCTCACTAATGATCCGCTGGTATCCCTCGCGCCGTCAACAAAGGGGAGAGACGGGGTCGGGCTGATTCCGGCTCCGAGTGAGCGGCGGTAGGCCGGAATTGGATTATTATGAATACTGCGCATGCTATACCGAACGCTACAGTGCGGCACCTCATGGTGGAAAGTGGATGACGTCACACGAGAAGGTGTTATCCCACCGACAGAGGATCATGATTAGCACCTGAGTTAAATAGAAAGGCTAGTTTAAAATTAATTATTTAGCGTTAATATGTTCAGCGACATGTGTTCGATGGTGAATATTAAATGAAAATTAAATCTTAATTATTAACCAATTTGCACCCATACATTTTACATTTTCATTATATTTCGTACTCAAGGTCAAATGCTAGCCTGATTTCAGCTTGTAAGCCGTAAGGATAGTAGCACTCCACATCTTCCCATTGAGACTAGAATACCCGACTTTGACTCAGATAGCGAGGCCGTAAGTCTATGCATGTCGCTCCCCTGTGAGTGATATGCCTGCCAACGCGACTCTCGCACTTACTTTAGGTATTGGGAACAGGGCATGGGTTGCAGTTGCCTACTGATAATTTTTATTGGAAGGGAAACATTGCTGATTGAAATATTTGCCTTATTTTGTTGGGATACCGTATTTGAAGTCAGTCGTGCTAGTTGTGGGTTTTTGATTGAATGACGGGCAGGT